GTCTCTACTGAAAATACAAAAAATTAGCCAGACGTGGTGGCAGGCGCCTGTAGTCCCAGCTACTCGGGAGGCTGAGGCAGGAGAACGGCATAAACCCGGGAGGCGGAGCTTGCAGTGAGCAGAGATCGAGCCACTGCACTCCAGCCTGGGCGACAGAGCAAGATTCCGTCTCAAAAAGAAAAAAACAGAAAGGCATTTATTACCCATCTTATCAAGGGACTTATCATTAAGATCATAGTCTTACACTTCTGTTTTTAAAGGAGTCCAGGTGTAACTGGGTGTCAAAAAAGCATTAGCACTTCCGGGAGTCATAGGTGTTACTTGATAGGTCTTCAGACCATCCAGTGGCTGAAACATAAAATCTTTAGGTGCGAAGGAATTCTTCCCTTTTATTTTTGCAGTATTCATCTCAGGTAAGTTTTCCATTTTTGATAAGACTCCATCTGGATCCATTCCACTTGTTGCACTAGTTTGTGAATTCAAAGTATTTTCTTCACTGTCGACTTTACAAGAAATACCCTAGGATGTGAGTTAACAAAGTAGAGTAAGATTTCTCTCTTGTGAGGATATATTCAACCAATTTTTATAGGTCTGAAAATATGACAACAGAAATATATGTCCTATGTACATAATTTGAGAGATAAAAACAGATACAATTAAGTGTATACATGGAATCAGAAGACCAGTTATGCTAAACCCATTGCTATTCCCTGGGAATATAATCAATTATTTCTTTCTTTTTTTTTTTTTTTTGAGAGGGAGTCTCCCCTCTGTTGCCCAGGCTAGAGTGCAGTGGCGCCATCTCGGCTCACTGCAAGCTCTGCCTCCTGGGTTCACACCATTCTCCTGCCTCAGCCTCCCAGAGTGGGTGGGACTACAGGTGCCTGCCACCATGCCCAGCTAAGTTTTTGTATTTTTAGTAGAGACGGGGTTTCACTGTGTTATCTAGGATGGTCTCGATCTCCTGACCTCATGATCCGCCCGCCTCAGCCTCCCAAAGTGCTGGGATTATAGGCGTGAGTCACCGCGCCGAGCCCAAATCAATTCTTATTAAAAGACTAACTAATACCTTTCAGGTATTACAAGAAATTAAAAGATAATGGAAAATTAATATGGAAAAACTTATTCAACAAATATGTATCTTTTTACTTAAATTGATAATCATGGCCGGCACAGAGGCTCACGCCTGTAATCCCAGCACTGAGAGGCCAAGGCGGGTGGATCACGAGGTTAGGAGATCGAGACCATCCTGGCTAATACAGTGAA